GAAAACTTCTCCCATGAAATTTGGATCTTAAAGAGAAATAAAAATGAAATGAAGGATTCAAAAGAACAAATAAAAAATGTAGTGGAAAGCCTTAACAACACAATCAGTGAAGCAGAAGAAAGAACATCTGATGTAAAAGACAAAACACAGGAAATTATATAGTCAAACCAAAAACAAGAAGAGGAAATTAGAAAACTAAAAAATACTGTTGGGAATCTACAGGATAATGTCAAATGACCCAAAATACAATTCCTAGGAGTTCTGAAGGTGTGGAAAGAGAGAAAGTATTAGAAATCCTTTTTAGTAAAATAATAATAGAAAACATCCCTAATTTGGAGGAAAAGGGGGGGGGGACACCCAAGTACAGGAAACACACAGAAATCCTAATAGACATGAACAGAAAAGATCTTCACCATGACATATGGTTATCAAACTCTCAAAAGTAAAACATAAAGAAAAGATTCTAAAATGTTTAAGAGAGAAATGCCAGATTACTTAGAGAGGATCTCAAATTAGACTCACAACAGACTTCTCATCAGAAACCCTACAGGTAGGAAGAGAATGGTGAGATATATTTCAAGTCTTAAGAGAAAAAAACTGTCAACCCGGAATATTATACCCTGAAAAGCTCTCATTTATGAATGAAGGTAAAATCAAGACCTTCCATAACAAACAGAAATTGAAAGAATTTGGGGCCGGCACTGTGGCATAGCAAGTAAAGCCACTGTCTGCAATGCCAGCATCCTATATGGGCGCTGGTACGTGTCCCAGCTGCACTACTTCTGATCCAGCTCCCTGTTATGGCCTGTGAAAGCAGCAAAAGATAGCTTAAGTTTTTGGGCCACTGCCCCTGAGTGGGAGACCCGGAAAAAGCTCCTGGCTCCTGGCTTTGAATTGGCGCAGCTCCGGCTGTTGCGGCCAATTGAGGAGTGAACCAGCAGATGGAAGACCTCTCTCTCCCTCTGCCTCTTCTTCTCTCTGTGTGTAACTCTGATTTTCAAATAAAGGTTAAAAAAAAAAAATCAAAGAATTGTCACCACCCGTCCAGACCTACAAAAGATGCTTAAGGATGTGCTGTACACAGCACGAAGAAATATGGTCATCACTACAAAAGAAGGTAAAGGAAGAAAATCTCCCAGAAAACGTTCAAAGGAAATTCAAAGTAAAAAATAGGAATATTTTTGGAAAACTGGCAAGGCAAAGTCATTACTCATCAATAGTCACCTTGAACATAAATGACCACAACTCTCCAGTTAAAAGACACAACTGGCTGAATGGATTAAAAAGCAAAATCCATCTATTTGCTGTCTACAAGACACACATCTCACCAACAACAATGCTCGCAGACTGAAAGTGAAAGGATGGAAAAAGATATTCCATGCTAACAGAAGCCAAAAAAGAGCTTGTGAAGACATCCTAATATCAGACAAAATAGACTTTAATAAAAAAAATGTTAGAGAGACAAACAAGGACATTATGTAATGATTAAGGGATCAATTCAACAAGATGATGTGACAATTATAAATGTATATGCACCTAATTGTAGGGCACCTGGCTATTTAAAAGAAATTCTAAGGGATATAAACAGAGACATAGACTCCAATACAATAGCAATTGGGGACTTCAATACTCAACTTTCAGCAATGGATAGATCAACAAGACAGTTAATCGACACTATCAACAAAATGGACCTAACATACATTTACAGAACTTTTCATCCTACAGTTGCAGAATACACACTCTTCTTATCAGCGCATGGAACTTTCTCTAGGATTGACCACATACGAGGCCATAAAGCAAGTCTCAGCAAATTCAAAAAAATTGAAATCATAGCATGTATCTTCTTGAACCACAATGAAGTGAAGCTGAAAATCAGTAATTCAGGAGTAATCTCTAGAACATATGCAAACACATGAAGCCTGAACAACATGCTCCTGAATGAACAGTGGGTCACAGAAGAAATCAAAGGAGAAATAAAAGCATTTCTAGAAATAAATGAAGATGACAATACAACATACGAAAATTTATGGGAGAAACAGCAAAAGCAATGTTAAGAGGAAAAGTTAAAGCAATGGGTGCCTACATCAACAAATTGGAAAGGCACCAAATAAATGAAATATCAAAGCATCTCAAGGATATAGAAAAACAAGAGGAAATCAAATCCAAAACTAGTAAAATAAATAATTAAAATTAGAGAATAAATCAACAAAATTGAATAAAAAAATACAAATCAAAATGGCCAACAGCCACATGAAAAAATGTTCAAAAAACAAAATTAATAAAAAGAAATATTCACCTTGCTTCTAACTTAATGTTAAAAACATTATATGATTAAATTATAAGTTTTTTTTTTTTTGGTTCTACTTGATACTATTGGTTGAACTCTGTAATTAACACACAATTATTCTTAAGTGTTTAAATTTAACTGAAAAGTGATCTCTGTTAAATATAAGAGTGGGAATAAGAGAGGGAGGAGATGTACAATTTGGGACATGCTCAAGCTGACTTGCCCCAAATGGTAGAGTTAGAAATGTGCCAGGGGATTCTAATACAATCTCATCAAGGTGGCATGTACCAATGACATCTCACCAGTCCAAGTATCAGTTTCAGTTCACAATTGATCATATGGATAGGTCTAAGAGTCGAAGGGATCACATAAACAAGACTAGTGTCTGCTAATACTAATTGACAGAATCAAAAAGGGAGAGAACGATCCAACATGGGAAGTGGGATACACAGCAGACTCATAGAATGGCAGATGTCCTAAACAGCACTCTGGCCTCAGAATCAGCCCTTAAGGCATTCAGATCTGGCTGAAGAGCACATGAGAGTATTTTAGGCATGGAAAGCCAAGATACTCTGGCAAAAAAACAAAACAAAACACAAACAAACCTAAATGAAAGATCTCTGCGAGAGATCCCAGTAGAAAGAACAGGCCATCAAAGAAGGAGGTACCTTTCTCTGAAGGGAGGAGAGAACTTCTACTTTGACTATGACCTTGTCTAAACAAGATCGAAGTCAGTGAACTCAAAAGGCTTCCATAGCCTTGGCAACTCATGACAAGAGCCTAGGGAGATTACTGACGCCATAAACAAGAGTGTCAATTTGTTAAGTCAATAACAGGAGTCACTGTGCACTTACTCCCCATGTAGGATCTCTGTCCTTAATGTGTTGTTCAATGTGAATTAATGTTATAACTAGTACTCTAACAGTATTTTACACTTTATGTTTTGTGTGGGTGCAAACTGATGAAATCTTTACTTAATATATACTAAATTGATCTTCTGTATATAAAGATAATTGAAAATGAATCTTCATGTGAATGGAATGGGAGAGGGAGCAGGAGATGGGAGGGAAGTTATGGGGGGGAAAAGCCATTGTAATCCATAAACTGTACTTTGGAAATTTATATTAACTAAATAAAAGCTCAAAAAAAAAAGAATTTATAATTTAGTCATGTATTTTCTTTTTAACATTAAATTAGAAGCACAGTGAATATTTCTTTTTATTAATTTTGTTTTTTGTTAAACTTACATTATTAAAACTATTACCAAACTCACACAATTCAGAAAAAAAAGTTGTAATAAGCAAATCATTTCTGACATTGAAAGCATTTAATTCCATGGTGGGTGTTTGATACAGTAGTTTATAAACTGCTTGGGATGCCCACATCTTATATCAGATTGCCTGTGTTCAAATCCTGGCTCCATTCTCAATTCCAGTTTCCTGCTTTTTTATTTTATTTTTTTTTAGAGATTTTATGATCTGTTGGAAAGACAAAGGGACACAGACTCAGAGAGGGGCAGAAAGAGAGATATCTTCCATCTGCTGGTTCACTCCTCCAAATCACTGCAATAGTCAGGATTGGACAAGGCTGAAGCTAGGAGCCTGGAACTCCAACCAAGTCTCCCACATGGATGGCAGAGACCCGTGCATTTGGACCATCTTCTGCTGCTTTCCCACGTGCATTATCATGGAGCTGTAACAGAAGCAAGGACTCAAATCTGCACTCCGATGTGGGATGCCAGGTCTTAATCCACTGTACCATAACATCAGCCCCTCAACTTTCCTGCTAATGTGCACCCTAGGGGGCTGCAGGTAATGGTTCAAATGGTTGTATCTCTGCTAGTCAGGTAGAAGACCAAGACTGAGTTGTGGGCTCCTGGCTTTGGTCTAGCTCAGCCCCTGCTATTGTAGGCATTTGGGGGAGTAAATCAGCAGATGACAGTCCTGTCTCTCTCTTTCAAGTAAACAAAAACTAAATACAAAATTTAAAAAGATCTAATTATAGTTTGACCTTAGAGGACCACATATTTACTGATCCTAGGTTTGAGGGAACAAACCTAGAAAATATGCAATATAAAATAGAAGGGGAGGAAATGTCTTTATGACATTTGTATGTGGTACTGTTGTGATAATGGTCACATAAATGTGAAGCATAAAGAAACATTAACAATTACAGTGACAAATAATAAGGAACATCATTATATGTTAGCTTACACAGAGCAGTGCAGGAATATAGCACCAAGAGCCTTTAACACCACATGAAGGAGTGGGGGGAAGGTTTCAAAGAAGGCATTTTTGCCATGAGCCATTGTTTCCAAAAGAACTAAAGTAGAATTATGGAAATTCAAACTTAATCTTTTAATTTTTCCTCAACTTTAGTGACAACTTAACATGTCAAAAGTTTTTGACTTGTAAAATCTTTTAAATCATGAAAAATTAAAATGAATTTTTAGAAAACAGTAAACCTCATTATACTGAAAGTACAGCTTATAATCTATCGAAGTTAAATACAATGATTTCTGATTACCTATTAAATCAGTTGCTTATTTCTTTGATTTCATTTAGCATTGATCTAACTCTGTGTGGAAGGTCACATTTGTGCAAGTTAACATAGCTTAATGATTAACTATATTCACCTGCCACTCTTACCTTTTATGTGGCAAAGAGTAGTATATATAGAGTTAACACGTCTCCATCTACATACTGGAGAAGAAATTTCAAATTGCTTGCAACTTAATAATTAGGATAAAAATGTACACACTTAAGATTTTTCTTTTTATTGTTCCTCTAGTTATTTCCTCCAGAATTGACCAAGACAATTCATCATTTGATTCTCTATCTCCAGAATCAAAATCAAGATTTGCTATGTTAGATGATGTGAAAATTCTAGCCAATGGCCTTCTTCAGTTAGGGCATGGTCTTAAAGACTTTGTCCACAAGACTAAAGGACAAATTAATGACATTTTTCAAAAACTCAACATATTTGATCAGTCTTTTTATGACCTTTCATTACAAACCAATGAAATCAAGAAAGAAGAAAAGGAACTAAGAAGAACTACATCAAAGCTACAAGAGAAAAATGAAGAGGTGAAGAATATGTCACTGGAACTCAACTCAAAACTTGAAAGTCTCCTAGAAGAAAAAATTCTACTTCAACAAAAAGTGCGATATTTGGAGGAGCAATTAACTAATTTAATTAAAAATCAACCTGAAATTCATGAACACCCAGAATTAACTTTATTGAAAGTAAGTAGAAACCAGACTTCATGATTATGTTTTAAATGTAAATCTTTTAAAAATAAATTCTAAGACATGCTATTTGAAATACTTTGTTGCATTGTTGGAATATCTTATTTTTCTCAAAAAAAAAAAAAAACAAACCTCCAGAAGATAAAATTTCCCATTATAATTTCAAGTTAGTTCTTGTTTCCTTAACATTATATGAAAAATAACTTTACATCTGATATGAAAATTACAAATCAGTTAAATAATAAAATTTAGAACACTAAGTTATTAGATCATTGCAAATTACTGGAGATAAGTAAAAAGTTAAATGAATTTAAAACTATTCTACCATGTTCAAAACAGGTAAAAGACTACAGTAAGAAAGATATATGATTAAAATATTGTGGTTTTTATCCTTTCAAGTGAAGTAAAATTCAGAAAACCAAATTTTAGAGATAGTATATTTTAATAAAAATATAAGAACAAAAGAATATATTACTTGAAAAGATGTCTAAAAGGAAAATGATTGACAACATTTTTTAAAATCTACTATTAGTTTAAAAAACAGATTGTGACAGTGTTAGAGGAAGTAAAATCTCTAACAGAAAACAAAGAGGAATGAGACTTTTAACCAAACTACACTCTATATCCAGATTTTTGTAGAACAGCAAGATAACAATATCAAAGACCTTCTCCAGACTGTGGAAGACCAATATAAACAATTAAACGAACAGCATAATCAAATAAAAGAAATAGAAGATCAGGTAAGTCAGCATTTTAATGGTATGTCCGATATTTTACATTGGTTTATAAAAATACTGGATTTCAAAATTATTTGAAACCTTTAATTGGGTGGTGAGCAAACTGATCATACGGGCAAATACGACTGCAGGCTCTGTAGCTAAGACCTACCTGGTTTCCAATCATGGCTCTAAACTTTCCATGTGCCCTTGACTAAATTACTTAACCCCTCTGCCTCACAGTGTCCTAGCACAGCCCACAGAGATAATGACAGAGCCTATCTTTATAGGATTGTTGTGAGAAAAAAAGAATTAATTCATGACAGCCAAAATGATCCTATTAAAATTTAAATTAGACCACATCTCTCTGCTCAAAACCTACCACGGCTTGCCATTTCACTCACAGTAGCTCAAATACCTGAGATGACCTGACCCGCCATTATCTCACTCCCTTCATCTCCAATCCTCCTGACCTGACTGTTTCTCATACACATCAAACATGCTGCACCTCCGTGCCTTTGCCCTTCTTGTTTCCTCTTTCTCCCTGGTATCTGCATAGCCCACACTTCATTTCCTTCAAGCCTTTATCAAACAAGAAATGCTCAATGAAGCCTTTCCATGTCACTTAATTACAAATTATAATCCCTTACTCCCACCCCTACACGCTTCTACCTCCTTAACTACTTTTTTCCTTAACACTTTTATTTTACACATAATGGGTCTTATTTTACTTTTCTTGTCTGTCCTTCACTAAAATGTAAGCTGTTTGAGTACAGTGACTTTTTTCCATTATTTTTATTACTATTGCCTTGGAATATTAATCATATGGCACATAGTAGGCGCTCAATAAATATCTGTTAACTAATAAGGTTAATACCATTTTCAGCATACAGAAGTCAGTAAATTTACTATGATTATTATTTTTATTACTGTATTATTAGAAATTTGTGCCTGATTATTAAATTCAACATCCAGTAACGTAATTAATCTAAATGTAAACAACTGGCTAGGTGAAGGAGCGAAGTACTTGTTTAGAATAAAGCTATGCCAGAATTTAAGCATTCTAACATAGGATACATTGGTTTAAAAAATCAATCAGTAATAGTCTTAAATAGTCATTCAAGAGGATTTGAAAAATATTATAAACTCAGAGATCACAGTCACATAATTATTACAGTATAATTGTTCTGTTACTATTAGTTATTATTATTAACCTCACACTGTGCCTAATTTATAAATTAAACTTTATAACAGATACATTCTGTTTAGGAAAAAACAGTATAAATAAGGTTGAGTACTGATTGTGGTTTCAGGCACCCAGTGGGGGTCTCAAACATATCCTCTGCAGATAATGGGGTACCAAATGAAGAAATTCAAACAATGAATTCCTGAGTTGGAAGACTTAGATGATATGATCTATCTTCCTCTTATTTAAATTAAAAAATCAGAACTCTAAAAAAAAACAAGCAAATTTAAGACCATAGTTACTTATTAGAAAAGATTAACATCTAGTAAATGAAATTTACTACAAATCCTTATAAATTAGGTCCTCAAAAATACTATTGATGCCAACATCAAAAAGCTAATACTGATAATGCAAGATACTATATATTCTGCTTTTCTCACCATCACTAAGAAAAACATTCAGTCAATAAATTATAAATTCAACACACTTGACAGAACATGTTATTCTATACTAATAATAAAATATAAAAAATTAAAAATAAGCAAATAAACCTGACAACATCTACAGATATATTTACAGGTCAAAAATGACCAAAAGCAACCTTATTCAAATAATGTTCTGTGTCTTTATGGAAGGTCTGAAAAATCAGATCTACAACTGATAGTCATTACACTTAAAATCAGCCTATGGGGCGGACACTGTGGCATAGCAGATGGGGCTACTGCCCGCAGTGCCAGCATCCCATGTGGGCACCAGTTCGAGTCCCTGATGTTCCACTTCCCATCCAGCTCTCTGCTGTGGTCTGGAAGGGTAGAGGAGGGTGGCTCAGGTCTTTGGGTCCCTGTACCCACATGG